GCCTCATGCAAAAGAAAAAAAAAAACACAAAAACCAAGTCTGCTTCTGGAAGTCCTTTTCCTTCAGATCTATTGTTCCCTGGACTTGTCTTGCTACTCATTTTTATATAGTACTTAAATCTGCTAGACTTGTGCTTAGTGTCAAAAAAATACACACACACAAAAAACTAACAGTGTACTCCAATTTCTCTCTCTCTCTTTCTCTCTCTCTTCCTTTTTTCTTCTTCCTTTTAAATATTTTTTCCCCCCACTGCATCTGCATGACTGATACAGTCTTCCTGCATTTTCATTTTGTTATTAAGCTGTGCACACTACAGGCTACCAGATGAAATCGCATCCCTTGTGCTCGGGAGGGAGCATTTGCATGCTGGGCACACACACACGCTGCTTTCTCTTTCATGCTCTGTCTTGTCAAAGGGTGCCATCCCTGTTGGCGAGGAACTCTGGGGTACAGAGTCTGGGGCAAAATGCTGCAGCTGTGATTGTGTATGTGCAAAATCCAGGAGGGTTCCTGCTGCATGCGTGGGCAGGAAAAGAAATTGGGGGTAAGTGTGGAAGATTTGGTAAAGAGGTCAGAGGTCCAGACTATCCTAATATATTAATAATGAGGCAGCAGACAATTCTAGTTCTGTATTTGCCTAGACTGTGTTTATTACAGACTGAATGTCTCCACTAAATCTGCATGGAGATGCTGTTAGCAAAGAGGACGAACTGTTACTGCTGGCCTGAGGTCCTCAGTGGCTCCCGTGGAGGTCATCAGATGCCTGTTCTTGAAAGCTTTGTTGTCCTAAAGACAGAATGAGCAGATGAATAAATAAATACATACACTTTTTAGTTAAAAGGCTCTTTAAATCTGATTGTGTTATGGAAGAGCAGTGTTTTTGTTGAAATCTTCCATCTTTTTGATCTCCGGACTTTTTCACTGCATGTAGCAGTGAGCTTTCCGTAATGGAAAGTAATATCATTGCTGCTTTAATTCTGTTTTGGCCTTACTTGTTCCAAGTGAAGCATCTGAAAAGTCCATCAGTGCATGCTAGTACCAAGTTGTCTCCACAAAAAACTGGATTGAATGATTAAGAGATTAAAAAATAAAACAGTACTCTGTCCTATTAATTGCCCCCGGTAATGATTTCATAGTGATTTCATGTCTCATGAGAATCTGGGATTACAAAAAAAAAAAACCTGCACCAAACAAACAAAAAACAAACCCCACTCTCCAGTGAGCAAAATGCTAAAACATTTTTATTTTTTTTTTATTTTTTTAAGAAACAGAAAGACAGTTCCAAGTAGACAATAATGTGGCAGCAGAAGACTCTTCTGGGTTGGAGTCACCCAGGTTCAAATTCTCCCAATTCTCCCATTTTTTTTCTACAGCACAGACAACTACCCCACCCACCTGATGTGAAACCATTGAATGTTGATTGTCAAGATTGCCTCTCTCAGTCTCTTTTCTGAATAAATAAATATTCATTGGGCCAGAGGAACAAATCTGAGGCTCTTACAAACTCACCTCCTAATCACTAAGCAAGAAAGAAAGCAAGGTACAATTTTTCACTGAATAAATATAGGGGTAGCTTCACCCTGCATGTGCAAGCTGAGTGCCAATAATCAGGGAGAGGAGGATGATAGAAGGTAAAAATGGCATCTGACAGCTCCTAGTCATGCTACTCTGTGTATATGGAAAGTGTTCAACTACCACAGTGTGAGGCCTGAATAGTAAAAGGAATAGGGCACAGATTAAAGTCCATTTTGACTGTTTCGTCCAAACTTCAGTATGATGGAAAGGTTCAGGTGAGCCAGTTTATAACTTCAGGTACTTCCGAAACAAACTTGTACTCGGAGACCCTTCTTGCTTCTCAGCTGAGCTATTGCAAATATCCTTCTGCCTGGTTTCTACTAAAGATGAAATAAGTGATATGGGAGCTCTGGTCATGTAATTTTCTCAGTTCATTCAAACTCTGAAATGTGATGGTCAGGGATCATATAAACAATCTTAGCACATTATCATTGCCTAGTTCCGAGGGAGCAAGGTTGCATCACGATTTGACTTTAATGGGAGTAACATTCCCTTCAGCTCAACTGTCAAAATTGCCCCTGCATTGACTCCCGCACAAATCAAAGCTAAGAACAACAGCATTATTTCCCAAGACTCAAACTCTGCTTGCTTTCCCAAGGCTTGGAAAGCTGTCCACTGCATGGTTACTTGACGGATCCTTCCTGATTAACATTTACAGTAATTCTTGAAAAAATGATTGTTTCCTTTTGGGCTGTTGAGCAAAAGAGAAACACTTCCACTTTTGTGAGGAATAAAGATATTTATGTTAGACAAACTTGTCTTCCATTGACAGAAATTAATTTTGTCCTGGAAAAATTTATTTTCATAAAAACACCTACAGATCTTGGGCTCAGACTGGGTTCACTGGTAGATGAAGATACTTTTTACCTGCAGGACCAGGTCCTCCAAGGCCGCTAATGACACAGATTTTTTTTTGAAATATTCAACTATTTCAGTGAACAGACTAAGCTGCCCATAGAAAGCAATTTCTTCTTTGAGCATTGGAGTGGAAGAAATTCTCTTTCCTACAGCTTAGAGTCCCTGGGCCTTTAAGCCTCTTTCTCACAGCATAAACCCAGCTCTTCCCAATGCCTCTGATGGTATTGCTTCTCAGCATAAGCCAGGGTGAGTGCAGGCAGTCGTCTATGTGCATCCTGCCTGGCTGTCTAATATGCACATACTGCATGTCAGGGTGACAGACCTCTTTTGGGCTCTGCCTTCTCCTGGCTAGGCACTTTCACAACACTTTGAGGAGCTTGCAGACTTCTCCACTTTCACATGTGAAGGGAATTAAAATGTTCAAGAGTGACTAGCAGGCAGGCAGGCAGACACATATTTCATTGCAGCAATTATCCATCTTGTGGTCTAACGACAAGTAGGGTTAAAACTCAGGAGTCCATTGCAGAAGAGTTGCTGGGATACGAGATAGAAGTGCTGAAATGTAAAGATACTGAATTTATATTTGCAAGGAAAGATATTCTGACAGTGCTTGTGTTTAGCTGTTTGACACTTAAAAGAAAGTATTTTATCCTCAAGGCAGGCAATTGTTCTCCAAAAGCAACTAAAATTAGTACCTACTTATGTTATTAACCTGTGTATGATTAACTTATCAACTTCTGTAGAAGTGCCTTTTCTGTGCCTGTTCTGACCTCTATTCACCTTGTATTCTAGAATTCACATTTAATTGTCCAAAGTAATACATTGCTTATCTGTGTATCTGTGATCAACAAATGCAAATAAGAGATTAAAAACTAATAATGTCATGTTAAAGAATAAACATTTTATATAGAAATCTATTACAGAAAATATTACTCTTCATTTTTTCATATGCAGCATCATGAGCAAATAGCCTTGTAAAGGCATCTTTAAGCATCTGCAACTAGCACAGTCTTGTATCAGGAATGTCAAAGGGAATCTAGATTCTTGACAAATTTCTTAATTTTGAAATGTTTAAATAAGAAGTGAAGCCTTTTAACATTAATTGGAGGTGAAACAAATCATGTAACCATTCACAATTCACACAAATATTATGCAATAAATGACAATAGCAGTTGCACAGTTTCCCTGTCTTTCATGCCTTTCCATGTGTGACAATCAGTGGTATGTGAAGCGTTTGCAAGAAATTTTCCTTTCTTGATTTCATTTATGTATTGTTAGGTTTTCTCCCAAAATGGAAGGCAGTTCACTGGCTTTTCAAATCTTACTCACAATGTAAACATAGTAATTGTTGCTTAGAGGTGTTGCAAAGCTGCTATAGAAAGTGTTCCTGTTTCACTTAAAATGCAGGTATGATCGCTTATGCAGAATATGCACATTCTCTGTGGTTCTCTGACTATCTGAAGCTGACTTATCTATGAGGTTTTGTTGGATGTGGCTAAGCAGGCTGCTGAAGCCCTTTTATCTCTTCCTTTTGAAGCACTTGTGTCTGTACAAGCACACAATGTCTTTAACTCAAGCAGATGTCCATCTCAGCCAGTTGGGTTCACTGAACAAACTTCTCTAAAATTCTGTAACACACATGTCCCCTGTGGCCAGAAAACTCTCTCTCTCTCTCTCTATGTATATATATATGTATACATGTATATATATATATAAAGAATATATATATATATATATATATTTTTTTTTTTGTGCAGCACACGCTATTTTGTGTTTGGGGGGACTTCATATTGCATAAAAAAACATCCAGGAGATAAATAACCTTGTTTACTCTGACAAAATATAAGCAATAAATAAGGCTGACATTATTTGTTGTGATCCTAACTGATGAATTTTATTTAGAGGTTAGAGGTTGGTTCCACTACCAGAACACTTCAGTGGCCATTTTTTTTTTTGTTTATATTAGTTTATGATATTTTTTTCCATATAGTTTTTTTTGTTGCTGTTGTTGCAAAGTTGTTTTTTAACATTTTTATGTGTAGCACTGGGGCTCGTGTGTTTTTTTTTGTTGGTGGTGTGTTTTTTTTTTTTCTTTTCTGCTTCTAGCTGTAAAAGCTGAATAAGAATTGCTTCTATGGGAAAAGGAAATTAAAGAAATCATTATGTCAGTTTTGAAGCCAGGAATAAATGAAACAAAGTTGTTGTTAAACCACTGAAAAGAATACATAAATGAAAGTCAAGGTCATTAAGGCTGTAGTTGCCCATTTACTACTAAGGGAAAAACATATTTATGGGAAAAAGTGTCAAGGCCTGCAGAAATATCTTGCTTCCATGTATGCTCCCCATGTATGTCTTACTTTTATAGGTCTCTTCCCCAACCGTTTTGCTTATCTTATGCTAGACAGGCATTGCAAAATACATTCATACTTGAGCTCATGAAAGCAAAAACATACTGGCTCCTGTTATGTACCCCTAAATCATCAAAATGGTGCCATATTATTTCTGCCTCTCATTCAGTTTACCTGGTCCAGATAGACCATCAGGTCCTGCACTCTGTTTTCTTTCAGGTGGATTCCCAAAGGAAATGTGGTGGAGTTCCCAGGCCACCACAAAGAAGAGGTCTGCTGCTCCTGTTGCCCCTAAATGTGTACTCAAGACACTTGTCTTCTTTTCTGTTCATGTCGTGTTTCACTTGACTCCCAGGCAGCCATGGAAAGGTTTTTCCAAATGCATACTCTCCTCACAGATATGATCAAAAGCCTATGGAAAGCAGTGCAGATACTCCTGCTGATATTCAGTGTGGGCCCTGTGCCATCTATTGCAACTGAGAAGCCATCCGTGCTCCATGCTTAGTGAGGAATGCTGCAGCTTGTCCAGGGAATACTGAAGTCACTTAGCACTTACATTAAAAAACATCAAATATAAGTGGAATGGTGTAACTAGGTTGCCAAAAATATATTACATGGCTGGCTGTAAAAGTAGGTGGCAGGCACAGGAAATAGGATTACTGTGTTCCAGGTTTTCTTTGTTGCAATCTTCCCTTGCCTCTTCATGGAAACCGACATTAACCTTCAATAACTGAAAATGATCTGTATTTAAAATATCAGAACCAATCTTGTCCTTGATTTACTACTTGACTAGGAATAGGTTCAGTGATGTGCTGACAGACATCATTCTGCCTATCAAATGCAGAGGCTGTGGGTATTTGACATCGTTTTTAACTAATGGACTAGAGGTCATTATTCTGAATTTCAGAAACCACCCACTAATGTCTGGGGAGACTTCAACTCCTAAGTCACTTGGATGTTTCTGAAAAAACTCACACACCATATTTCTTTTGGAAAGGAAAAAGCCCCAGGCGAGTTTTGTAAGAATACATCTAATTAAATAGCACAGTAATGAAAACAAAGAAATAAAAGTTAATCCAGAGTTAGAATAAATACAAGTGATGGGATTGAGTTTCTCCTGGAATAGAACTCTGCTGGCATCAGTCAGCTTGGAGAAGGAATGAATCTATGCCACCATTTCTGTTTACCTTACAAAGCCAGGAGAGAAATATGGAAATACACAAAGAAAATTCTGAGAAAGGCTGTAGCCTACTAATGAGATAAATGTTCCAAGTGACTTTTGATAGTCCAAGCAACGCTTCTCCAGAGGATGATTCAGAGTGGGTACAGCAGGATCTAGCTGTTCCTCTAGAGAATTCTCTTTCTTCCAGTGACTATAGGAAGGGAGCATGGAGTTATCTCACCGGCCCCAAAGCAGCCTCTGGAAATGCCTACTGAAAGACTCCACAAGGAGTCCAACAAGTCCAACAGTTTCAAAACACTAGCTGTGAAGAGAAATCAAACCACAGGATACCTCCTCTGAGCCATGATAATGCACCCAAAACTACCTGAGAAGCCTAGTACTCTTGAACTGGTCCTGCTTGGTGGGCAGAGGTCCTCCTACTGGTAGTCACAGGGACCAATATATGTTTTCCACTTGCTAAATCAAGTATAAGTATTTCCAAAACTGCAGACTCTGATGGAGCTAATTTTTAAAACTTTCACACATAGAGGCAGTGAAAGTAGGCAGCCTTTTGGCCCACAGCAACTGCTGCTTTGTTATATCATTTCTCCATATCTCTCCCCACTTCTGAGTAGCTATCATTTACCTTGAAGAGCAACCTTTGAGCATTTGCTCTTTCTTCTGCTCAGAAGATTCTTCAGTATTATTTTGGACTTCAGTAGCAATCGGACTTTTGGTGAAAAGACTAGCATAAGTTATATAACCAGAGTTTCCTGGAAATTTGTAGGACTACATGGTCGCCTTCCATCTGTTTTCCAGAGTTCTACCAAGCATAGAAAATAAGCCATGAAAATATAATAGTGTGTTAACAACTATCAAGGCCCCCTGCTGTCTTCTGTTCCATCTCAGCAAGAGGTTAAATTATGCGATATAATGCTATATAACACAATAGTGTACTTTTTCCATTTTAGGCTATGACATCAATATTCTTACAATCATAAAACAAAATCAAAACCAAATTCTCCTCTCTTCTCATTAAGACATACACTATGTATTTCAGATCGTCTCTTGAGAAAATTTTACAGACAAATATTATAAAACATGCAACACATGTTTATGATCTCTAATTCCAAGTAAAGTCCAGCCCAGAAACTTAATTGAGGCACATTTGCACTGATTTTGAGGGAGTTTTGCACAGATGAGGGTTGCCAGTTCTAATCCATATTTGTTTCTGGACACTTTAACATTTACATTAAGTACAGATGGACTTGAACAGAATCCAAATTTAAATTAAATCAAAGTTTGGATTACCTGTCTCCAAATGCTCATGATTCTTGTGGATATAAGAAGAAAGTAGTGGATTGCTAGGTGAGTATGTTTCAGAGATGCTCAGCGTTGTCTCAGTTTTTTTACTACATGCTGCTGGCAATCATAATTTTTGTAAAGGTGACATTATTTAAATTCAACTTGTGCCTAAATGGGGGTGTTTAGTAGAGATTTCTTTATTTGTTGCCTAGAAAATAAATCTTTCCAAGATTTTGCTTATACGTGTAGTGACTAGAGGAGAAAAAGAACAGCCTTTTTGAAACTTCAGACACACTCAGAGTTAAAATACTTCTCTGACAACTCTTCTCTATTAGTGGGTAGATGGTTAGAGTACAAAAGGATGTGGTTTAGATTTCTCCACCAACATAAGCGTTTTTCCATTTACATGTACAAATTTTGAAGGCTCTTGCCTGTTCAACTTAAAATATAACAGCACATTTATCTTACAGAAATGAGGGGTTTTCTGTACAATTCATGTTGTGCAATGATCTCAGCAACCAAGTGACATTCCAGACTGAAATGAGAAAGAAATAATGAAAACAGAAACAACAGTCTGTTTTCCAGAAGCCCTCCACTTGCAGCTCCAAATCAGAGCTTTTTTTAAAAAAAGGTCTCATGTAAAAGTAATGCAAGGTCAACATTTTGATTTCTGTCATTTGATCCATTGTACAAAATTCCTTTCTTTTTTCTCAATCGACTGTAAATATTACTTCTGGAAATTTGTTAACATGAACGACCTATTTAACTATCTCATATATATTGACTTCTATTGACTATACTGTCAGCATCAAATCTTTTCTCTAGTGACCAGAGTGTATCTATAAAGGGCTCTCTTTTTTGGTTTGTCAACAAGCTCTGTAGATACAAGTGAGCTACCTCCAATTACACTAGAGTCCATATAAGCCTTTATAAGAAGTGAGACCTGGATAAGTTCTGGAATAAGAAGATAAAAAATGCACGGTTTGGCACTGTTTTTGTATGAAGTAAACTATACAGGGAAAGAGTTATCCACAGTTTCCAATGCTTTTATTTTATGCTCTATTTTTGCTAGTCAGGTAGTATTAGAGCTCTGTTGATTAAAAAAAACAATCAAACAGCAACAACAATGAACAAACAAAAGCAAGCCCCAAACAATGCTTCTCATTCTATCTATTTCCTGGTAAATATATTATTAAAGTGAGAAAAAACATACTGAGTCAGAACTGAGGGTCATTGAGCTCATTTTTCCATGTTAGCATTTATCAATAAAGTACTTAGGGAAAAAGTATCAAAAAATATGAAACCATAAGCCAAATAGGTTGTTGCTCGTGGCAGCAGACTAATGGAGGAAAAAGCTGCTTAAGAAGCATGGGATAGTGAAGGGAAGAATTAGAGTTGTGACCCTATAATTCAGGAGTGTACACCTTAGAAGAGCATTGGCTGAAGGGATTTCCTATTGCCCTGGGTATCTGGGGTAGAAAAAAATAGAAAAAGAAAGGAACAGTTCCTCTAACTCAGCACAGAGCCCCATGAAATCTATAATCTTCTTCAATATCCTGATCTCTCCTGGCCTCATTCCTAATACAGAGCTATTCCAGGTCTCCCTTCTCCTTCAACTTTCTTTTCATTCTGAAACTTCCCATCTCCAAAAATTGTTCTGTTTCTCTCATCCTTCTCATCCTCTGTTTCTCTCATCCTTCTCATCCTCCTTTCCTTGTGTATGCTCAAAATTCATGTGGACTTCAATGTTAAAATTTCATATATGTTTCCCTTTAGGTCCATTGTTTTTGTGTATGTGTGTATTTTTCTGCTGGAATGTCATTGGATTAGACAATAGCCTACTGGGAAAGCTCAAACAGATTATTCTTTCCCTAGAAGAATAATGCTAACATTAATTTGTCTAAGAAATATGAGAGGAATCAAAACCATTAAAAAAGAGAAAAAAAAAATAAAGAAGAAAAAAGGTGGATACACATTCCTAAGATGTTATGAACACCTAAATAAGTAATAACTGTAGAGTTTGCTTTATACGGGAAAGACTTAAGATGCATCACAGGTAAAACTGTAAGCCATGCAGTCCTTCAACTTTTTCTATCTAATAAAAGACTATTTTGGATGGAGAGAATTGAAATAACACCTCTCTGTGTACTTGATTTTTGTTTCTGAGACTGCTCAACTTGTTAAAACATAGCAAATGGAATAGATGACAGAAGAGTTCTCCTTGTCTTTCCTTTTTAGTAGCATTGATCTCTTCACCCAATTTTTATTTTCTACAAAATATTTTACATGAATAATTGCCTGTGGGATTTCTATCAATTTTTAAGACATGGCTGAAATTAGACAAAAATGTTCTAAGGATATGGGGGATTCTCAGGAAGACTGGTAATGTGTTCCCCTAAGACTATTTTTCTGATGCTTAAAACCAAGCTAAAACAGTTTTATTTATATATTTTTTCAAGTTGATTTTAATTTCTTAGATCAAGGTTACATTAATTTAAATCTCTTCAGAACAACAGAATCACTGTACAGCTAAGATCCAAAATGGGTAGTAACTCCAAGCACATAAACTGAACATGCACATGAATAAATCAGTAGCGCATGCGTGTTCACACTCTCTCTCTTTCATTCTCCCTTTCTTTTTAAGATTCATTCTTTTCAACTCAATTGGTTTATGTTGTTTCAATATTTTAGTTGATTGATATAGAGAAGGCTGTAAATATACACAATGGGCTTGCCAGGTACAAGAATACATGCATGCTTATTTTCTAAAGCAATAAACGTTTTCTATAAAGTCTCCATAGCCAAATTACACAAGCCAACAGCATAAATGCTAAGTGATGTGCTTTTTACTGTTGTCTTTTTGAGGAAAATATGGGTCCCAGTTATTTATTTAGTTCTTTATTTATTAATACAGTATCTGCAAACCACCTGCAATGGCAGCTTCTTCTGCAGACTGACTGGCACCCTGGTTTCCATGGCAACAGAAGAAAAAAAAGGAACGAAGTCAAATGAAAGCAGTGAATGCCTAAGCTTTACTGGTAACTGGGGGAAAAAAAGGAGGCCTCATTTACATTCTGGTGCATAAACCAGCTAAGTGATGTTTCCTGAATAATTTCTGGTGGCTTGAAACTGCACATTCACATAGAGTTTATATTTTTTTATTATGACAGTACTAAAAATTCCCATATCAGATTATTTGTACAAATTACAGGTGGTGGAAAAACACAGATGAACAACTGAAATGTTTAGTTAATTGCTTTATGTGCTCTAAAAAGAAATAAAATGGACTGCTAAATTATAGTGACTAAAACAAGAGAGTTGGTTGGAAAGTTTTCTTCATCTGTGACACAAATATGTTGTGTTGAAGAAACATCTGCTATGCTAAGTGACCCATTTCTAAACAAACAGCTTAAGAAAAGAGAGAAATCTAAATACAAACAAAGCCCCTTTTAGTCTTTTAGACAATTCCTGTGACAATAACACATTCCAAGGAGACGTGCATATATTTGGACTGTAAGACTTCTTGGACTGCCTTTTGGTTTATTACTGCCCTCCATACAAACAGGGCCTTAATCCTGAGGCTTTGAGGTACTACTGTGACAAAAGTGGGTAGTAATAAACATATATATCAAAGTTCCTTATAAAAAAAAATCAAAAATATATTGTATATAGAATTCATGAAAACCTTAATTCCTGACTGATTTAGGGGAAGATTATCTTATTTTAAGAAAAGTATTTTTAGGATTTATTTATCAGTTTGTGAGAAATCATCCCTTTCCAAGCACTAAAAAAAAAAAAAAAAAAAAAGGAAAGAAAGAAAGAAAGAAAAAAAAAGATACTTAAAACACCTTCCAGGCTTTAATTTTAGTCTTCCAGTTAAACATTTGTCTAAACTCAGACAGAAGTCCAGAACTGCCTAGTATTCCCATCATTTGAACCACAGGGTTCATTGTCTTCACTTCTTTGAGCCAAGACTTCATACCACAGTAGAAAGAACCTCCACAAGAACACCTTTGCCAGGTCATTTTACTGGTAGACCTTAAATTCTGATTTTTCCTACATGTGCTGGGCTCACTGAGTTCCATTGCATTGATTCCCATTCCATTCCATTGATTCCTCTATAAAATGTCAAAATTTTATATATTTAATGTTAAGCATGATATTTTCATCTGAATCTTGTGATTCTTGATACAGTTTTGAAACTTGGTCTACTGGAACCATAATTGTTTGAAAATACTTGCTTTATTATTTTTTTTTTAAAAGAAGCATTAAAGATTTTTTTTGTTTGAAAATATGAAACTTAAAGACCTTGAATCCATGGAGCAAATAACAAGTAGAAATACATATTAAGAATTAATATCTCTTAACTTTCAAGATAAATCTATGCTTTTATCTGAAAGCTTGTGGTTGGTATTCTAAGTTCCTCTCATCATGCTTGGCTGCAGAGGAGACTTGTTCCTTTATTGAAGTACAAGTGGACTGGGCTTAAAACTATTGGATGGACTTTTTTTATTATTATTATTTTTTTAATTTATTTGAGTCACTTTGTAATTTTGTTTTTCCTTGTGAATATATGTAAAATATAAAAATATGCATTTATATTTTTTTCTCAAGACATGTCTAATTACATCACTATTGTACAGTAGTCTGAGCCCTGTTGATTTATTTGCAAGGATATCTTTCATTTTAGGTGTATAAATGCTCTGATAGATATCAGGAAAGAGCAGATGGACTCACAAAAGACATGCAAAAGCTGCCTTCCTTCTGCCAAAAGCTTTTCACACTCTCACTTTATCTGGCTTCAGTGGGATTTCTTGGAGGGAGAGAGCTCTCTGTGGGCCCCACAGCTTTGGGGAGTACAGTAATCAGTTCTGCATTGATTTATTAATTTTTTAATAAATTTATTAATTTGCTTACCTTTAGTGACCAGAGTCCTTTCAGGAGGGCCCCTGCATCCACCTCTGGAAGAATATGTATTCAGTATTTTCAACTGGGATAAGTATTTAGACTAGATGATGACAGTTTATGAACTCTAGGGGATAGGTCTCAGAAAACAGCAGGAGTTTAGTGGTTTTGGGGACACCTCAAGTCATCAGCCTGGCACCAGTGCTAGAGCAGACCAGTCACACAGAAACGTCTGGAAGATGCTTGTCATGACCATTGATGAAAGCTAATCTTTAGTAGATTAGCCCAAGTATGAAAAATCCAATCGGTCCATTTCAAATAAACTGTGGCTGCTGTGCATTTGAGATGTAGAGAGTTACCAATCCTCTTTCACATTTTTCTGGGTGACAACACTGAGCACTCAGAGGGACACTAGAGAGTAGGAAATGTAAGCACATGTACAAAAACAAACAAATGTCAACAAAAAGATTTTGATAACCCCCAACAAAGACAGCCTTAGCCTTGTTCAGAAGATTGTTTTTGAGGCAATAATATCATGTTTTCTGTTCATACTTATTTTGTAAGCATGGACTTCAAAGGATTTTCAGTTTTATGTTTCATTCCTTCAAATAGGCAGGCATAATGCCATCACTATTTTTCATGGTTAAATTATTTTTTAATAAATTTTTCAATTGCAAAGTTTTGTTTTAGTGGATGAGCACTACAAATAACTACACTGATGTTCAAACGGTTTATTATTTGACCAACTCTTCTATTCCTAAAGCAATAGTAAAATGGTACAATGCTGATGTTGACAGAGGAATTTTACAGATATTTTTTTTCCCTCTGGAAAAAGAATGATGTCTTTGGTAAGATATGAATAGTAGAAGGATCTCATTATTATGGTTCTATGTTGAACAATAGAAGGAATCCGTTACTATGTTTCTGTTAATGTAGTTTTAAAAGATGCATTTGTCTACTCCTGTCTGCTTTATTTTCCTAGCGTGGCATAAAGACTTGGTTCTGCTAGAACTGATCACATGTCAAACAGCTTCAAAAAGCTGCAAATTATGCTCTAGAAACCATGAGAGGTTGAGCATCTGTCAGGGGGCACACAGAGCATCTTTGCCAAATGAGGAATGGCCTTCATCCACTCACAATATGTTTATTTGCAACTCTGTGGATTGCACTCAATACTGTGTAAAGGTAAATGAGAGTTATCTGCAATGCCTTATATTTTACGGTTCTGGTGTAAAGTTTTGACAAACTGGTTTTGTAACCAACCTGAACCTTCACTGGTCTTGGCTAAATACAATCAGGTTTTGATAGTGATATCTATCTGTTCTCTTTATTTCCTACAGCATACATAAACCATGAATACTCCATCTTTCTCTGTATCTACAACTTTACTGATTTGCTCCGAGGTCCCTCTGTGTGCGTTCACTAAATGTAGCAGTGCATTGTGCTAACTTCCTCATATTTCCTCAATAACTTATTTTATACTTTCTGCTGGAGTCATCTCAATATTTGAGTTATAATATTTACTCTCCTTTCTTGTTTTAGTCACTTTCCCCCCATCTGTGTGGGGTAAGAGAAAATCATCACCTGTATTTCTTTCTTAGACATCTTCAAAGTGCATTCTACAAGGGATAAAATGTACCAATTTATTCTGTATAAGATCACAGTTCAATTTCCTGAAAAAACTTTTGTGAATTGTAGGAATTAGTGTCACATTTTTCTTCCACATTTTATAGCTCATTGAGTCCACAGAAAACATAACAGAGACTTGCAACTCTGCTAATGTGTGTATAGGAAACTCCCCTCAAATGGGTTCCTTCAAAAAACAAACAAACAAACAAACAAACAAACAAACAAAATATATGCCACCTAGGTGAACAGAATATTGGATTCATGTCCGTACTTTAATTTCATTCATTACTAGGGAATCCATTACTAGGGAATATTAATAAAAAATAATCACATTTTAATAAGTTTAAATGAATAGTTTCTTTAGGGGGAAGGAAAGGAGAGAGGTAAAATATTTAAAATTCTCAAGTTCTTGAGCTTAAGAACATACATACAATGTATAGTTTAGATTTTTTTTTATTTTTTTATTTTTTTCATTTTTTTTTACAAATGGTTTGCAAACTTCACTTGTGCAAGAGGAGATAATATGTGGAAGTTGTATGTGAAAGTAAAAAGCTGGCATAGTCATAATTGTAATCAGAGTTTGTTGCATGTTTTGATTGGAATAAATTGAAATGTTTATATTTCTCACACTGCATGTACCTCCTGTCTATTAAAACAGAAAGAAAGACTTTATTTTTTATCTTTGCAAAAAACAGTGGTTGAATTTTGTTCTTGGAGTCTAATTTCCATCATTTCATAATCATCATTTTTCAAGATGGGAATGATTCCATTTATCATTTACTTGATAAATCATGGATATGATTTTGTTGCTTTTAAGCAGCAAACTTGAATAACAAGCTTGGTACATGTGACCCAGATAACTGTTACATATTAGAAATTTGAAATTGAGATTTCTCAAGTCTGACCTGCTATCCACACAACATGTTGTCCTTCAGCTTGTCAACAATATTTAGAACATTCTTGGCAGTAATCATGAACCATCTATGTCATTATCATTTAGACATCTGACTAATCAAAGAAAAAAAGCTAGCAGGAGGCATAAGAATAAATCGATGCCTTTGTTTCTTCTACTCAATTACCGTTATTGCAAATGAAAGACCCCTTCAGCTTCAAACAATATTGTAAAGTTTTCTTGAATAAAACTTGCTCTCCAGGACAGGAGAAAATGTGCTTATTTTCTTAGATTACAAACCAGATTTAATCTGATTTGCAATTACAGATGAGCCCATGAATATGAGGCAGCTTTTGGCTGTCTTCTGGGTCACATGGCATGAGGCACCTCAGTTTCCACTTGAAAGACTCCACCTTCATTGCTTGATCCCTGCAGCCTGTGCCCAGCAGGCAGGGGATAGTGGTGATGATTTCATCAATTGGGTTGCTTGCCTGCTTTGCAGCTGGCAGAAAATCAGAGTTCCTTTCTCTCTGACTTGCTTTCTCTTCCTTCTAAGCAAGTGAGAACACACGTATTATTGCTGGACAGTCCCTTTGCTTGAAGTCTTTGGTGCTAACTTGGGATCTTTTCTCTTCCCAGGGGAAGTGAGAGGCTTTTAGAACACATATTGTCTCCTGCCACTTATATTTTCAACTCATTTATCTCTCTTATCAATAATCAAGTACAGAAACATCTCCTGTAAAACTGTTTTTCCTACTGTCTGAAAAAAAAAAAAAAAAAGCTAACACATTCCAAGATGTGGTTGGACTACCTGTGTCTTGCTATATTTCTTTTTGATACTTCCAGTAGAAGTGGGATTATTACATTGCAGTCTTATGCCATGAATGGTTCTCTTAAAAATAGCTGTATCCATGAAAAACTTCAAAGTTTAGAATATATATATAAAACCTTTTATATATACATACACATATATATACATATATATATGGAGATATATATATATATATGTGATCCTACCTATCAACAGTTCTGTTTCCCACTCACTGCTAAGCCTCAGAAAACACTTATTTACTTTCAGGTAATGGTCCTGATGACCATATCAGATTTAATAAATTTGTCTGGATATCCATTACCTTGTTTCTCCTGTTTATACTGTAAAACTAGTCTGAGCATAAACAAAGTAGATTGTTGCCTAGAGCATCAAGCTATAGGAGATGAGAAGGCTGCTTTTGTCCTGAAGCCTGTACTGCCTTTACCAGATACCTGAAAATCCCTGTTTCCTGGGGTTGCTGCCTTCAGGGAGCATGTGGTGGAACCTACACCACTGAAAGCAGAATCAGAAAGTTTTGCTACTTTGTTCTAGCCCCATAGTATGCATTGTCCAGAACTAACATTTATTTTTTAGCTCACAATACTCGGACAACTCTACTTTCCTCCCTGACAAAAAGCAATAGCTGTACTCTGTCCTGGGACTGTGTTCAAACTTCCCTAGTTTCTACTAAGTAGGTCAGCATTTTGATTATGTTTGAAAGCTTTGTTTTTCATCTGTTTATTCCAAATATTTCATTATCCCTGAAGAGAGCTCCCTGTAGCAAAAGCCACAACATTTTTCTGCAAATAATGAGAACTTGAGATGGATGCTTAGCTGTCCTAATGGCTGTGATTTTGACAAACTGCAAAACTTGGCAATATTATAAATGTTAGGATACTTCTAAATCTGCCATTTATATTGATGTGAATGATTTTATATAAACACACATACACATACATATATCTACACACATTTATTTAAACATGAGAATGGCAAATGGAGAGAAAGAATGTTTTCACAAACAGCTGAAAGTGTGGTAATATGATTCTTGGGGAATAACTGCATTACAGATTCTTGCAAAACTGCAGTTGGAGCCTAGCAAAATGCCAGAGATTCTCCTCTTTTCTTTGCATTGGTATTTGTTATATGAGACCACATTCTCAGGATCAGTTACTAGTAGCTTAAACTGGTATAACTAAGTTTACGATGTGGGAGATGAGCCAAGAATCTTTAAAGATGCAATTAGCAGTACTCTTTGCAGTGTTTACTACCTTGATCAGAGTATTTTAGAAGCTTTGTTTGTGTGTGGAACTATGGGTCTTATTTTTCTTTTCTTTCTTCTTTCTCTTTGTCTTTCGGGTAGGTGCTTGGCTTTTCTTTGTTTTCTTTTTCTTGTGAGGGATGGTCGAGGGGCTGTTCTTGTGTTTAGGGGAGGGGAGGGGGGGGGGGGAGGGGAGGGGGGGCTGGGGGTGCGGGGAGGGGCGGGTTATGTGCGGGGCGGGGCGTGGGGCTGTGGGTTGCGGTGTCGGGGGGGTGTGATGGGGGGGCTTTCTGTGCAAACAAATGGAACTTGAAATTGCTCCCGTCACACGTCCTCCCTAAGGAAGTAAATGACATTCCCCAAGTACACTTCCTTCCCTTCCTTCCCTTTCCCTTCCTTTCCTTCCCTTCCCTTCCCTTCCTTCCCTTCCCTTCCTTCCCTTCCCTTCCCTTCCCTTCCCTTCCTTCCCTGTACTTATCACATGCCAGAATAC